TCCGTACAGGACAAACACTCCAACTTGAGATATGAAGGGGACGAGCAAGACGAGTCGGATTACCGCGACTCTGACAAGCCCTCCAGGAAATCGTCAAGGCGCGGCACCTATGATGATTATGATCGGAACGAGCGGGAAGCATCCTACGCCGAATCGGATTCGGGGGATTACAAGTCATCTTCGAGACGCAGTCGGGGCGATAAGGAGAGAGCTTCCAAGCAGCATTCATCCCGGTCATCACGGCGACGTCACGACGAGGACGTTGATGAGGACCACGAAATGGACGACTACGCGGAATCGACAAGGTCAACTCGAGATGGGTATGAGGCTGAAAGCAAGAGCAGACACCGGAGTAGCAAGTCCTCTCGTCACGACGGCAGAGATCGAGATCGGGACCGCGATCGGGATCGAAATCGAGACCGCGATAGGGATCGTGAGCGAGACCATGACCGCGACCGCGACCGTGATAGAGATCGGGAGAAGACACGGACCAAAGACCGGGATCGAGAGCATCGAGACGACAAACATAGGGATCGGGACCGGGATCGGAAGCGCTCTCGACACGATCGTCACCGCGAAGACGTAGACAAACATCAGGAATACGACTACGACTACGACCAACAGCAGGACGAGGTTATTACTGAAGAGCCTGAGTCGCGACATCGGTCACGGCGTCACAAGAAAGATCATCGTCGTGATGTTGAGGACTCTAACGGCTTGGACGCCTCGATGGTCAATGGACGGTCACAATCTCATCGCTCCAGTGGCACAGTAACCCCAGCACCCGCACAGTCAATGTCAGCGTCAGGGTCAGCTCACCCCGAAGAGAAAGACCCTCACACCCTCGAGCGCGAAGCACGGAATCGTGAACGTATGCTCAAAGAACAACAGCGACGCGAGAAAGCCGCCAAACAGGCTTCATCCTCTGGCGGCGGTGGGACAAGTGGAAGGAGAGTCACATACAAATACGAGGATGATCTGGAAAGGGGACTTGTCGAGGGTGAAAGGGAAAGCCATGGGAGACGGTGGAGATAGTACCGCCACTCTCAAGGGCGTTGACCATGCCCGGGTTAGGCTTGGAGCATGGTGTCCTGATCTACTGGAGCGATGGCCAGAATTATTGTTGCTCACGATCCTTTCTATTTGTTTATTGGTACTTGGCTCTCTTTGCACGGAGTTGCTCTCAAAAAGCAAGGGCGGGACCCGGACAATGTGGTTCTCTGGGGGGAAGAAACCCGAAAATTCGGAACAACAGGCAGGCGGGCAGGCGTTGACAAGTGGCCCGCAATTCGCTCTACGGTACGGCTGGAATATGGGAAATGACCTTTTCACGAGAGGCGTGAGAAGGTGGGTGGATGGCGAGCAGCGATTGTGCCATCCAGTTTAGTGTGTTCGGATTCATACCTCGAAGTAACACAGGCGAATCACCAGGGACGAGACAACATCAGCATGTAGTGGTCAATCTGTACTTGTATGAAGACATCTCATCTGCTCCATTCCAACTGGATGTCGGCCTCATCGGGACCCGCCCTGCCATCGTCTGCGGTCGTAAAGGCGCTATCGTTGCGTATTGCAGCCACTGTCGATCTGAACAGGAAGCAGGTCGACCAGGTTGACGGAATAGTTTATAGGGGCCGAGAAACTACATCCGCCATGACTAACAAGGGGCGGTACATACCTGGGGTACATACCCAGGTATGTATTCTTCCCTGCTTGCTTGCCTGTTCCTTGCCCGCCTCATAAACCAACTGGCTGGCTGGCTTGTTGGTTGGGCCTTTCCCGGAGGACGCTATGAGTAACAAACAACGCTGATGGAGGCAGTCTGATGTCTGTATCTGGCTCTGGCTCTGGCTCAGATGCCCTGCCCTGAATAGGGGATGGAACGGCGTTAATAACAGGTACCGAGTGCCACTCATTGACGTGTCGTGCGGAGGACGAACACATTGCTGCCAACGACTTGTCTTCGACTTCCGGTTTGACGTTAACCCCAGACCAGAGCAAGGAGTAGAAGCTCTCATGGTGCCAGACGACGGCGTTGAATTGGTCCAAAGGATTTCAATCGTTCTCTGCCTCTTGGGGAGTTCGACTTCCGAAGTGGCCGTTGTTTCGGCGTGGGTAGTCAGCTGCGTCAATGGCACTGCGATTGTCACCACATGGGAGCTGTGTGTTTCCATTTTCAATATGAATTGGGGGTTGGAATGCAGCTGTCTTCGAGATGACCACTAGCTGATGTGTAGGAATTATACACCAATAGCTATCGCGTATAGATGTCTATCATTGTTGTTAGTCAAAAGTGATTACAAGCCAGGGAGGATGTCAACCCTGACCGTCTCTGATGCTTGTGAAAGCACAATGAGTCTGCATTTCTATCAACCTATTTGCCGGGATAGAAAGGAGGTCGAGGCATAAGATCGAAAGTGGTCAGAAGGAGCTGTCCCCAATTATCTCAAAGTTTCCCTCGAGAAGAGCCGAGGTCATCTGAGCGAACAGTTCGTTCTGGAAGGAAAGGTAATATTGATACCTCATGGTCCCATGGATGCTGCTGGTGAAAGAGTCATCAACCACCACGACTCGATCATTTGTCCCTGTCACCGCTTCCGAGACCTCGTCCACATGGCGATAAATTCAACTTTCTCCCTAACTCCCAGTCCCACTCTCTTGACACGCCCCAGCCTCGCCAACGCCTCCGCAATTTTGTCCAAAAATGCTCTTTCCTCCTTGGTCATTGAAAGTTCTTGGTCTTCGAGGCCACTACCAACGAGTGTATCTGCATCGCTGCTGGCTCCACCGTCTGACGAAACCAACGAGTCGAAATAGTTTGCTGTGTATGAAGGTGACACCTTTGCTGGGATGCTAAAATCTGAATCCGAGGACTTTTTACTATTATATACAGCCTCGGCAATGCGAATTCGGAGACAATGGGACGGTTTGCTGCAGAGGTTCCAGAGGAAGGTCAGGTAAGCGTGCGGGATGGGTGTTGTGACATCCGCAGGACTATATCGGAGGGAGACAGGAAACACTTTTGCCCGTGGCGGGGTTGCCAAAAGACTTGGACTCATGGGCAAGATGCCTCTACCGTTGGTCGTGGTGCATTCCGGAAATACCACCACAACACGACCTGGGTTTTGTCTCAGCACTTTCTCAATATCCATAAGATTTGCGCCAGGTGGTGGCGTCAGCTTCGGGTGACAGAACGTCCGGAGGATGGCTGTGAACAGAGATATAGGTTCCACCAGCCTTGTGTAAGGGTACGTGGCGGCGAAGACGGGGTCGAAAATAGCCGCCAGATACAATGGGTCGATCGGCGAAGCGCTTGATGAAGCAATCACCGAGCCTTCCTGGGGAATTCTTGTTTTGTTCTGCGCAAGAGACCTGGACCATGTCAGCACGTGCCCCACCGACAATTGCACAGCCATACCCTTTCTTCACCCCGTCGATTTGTAGATCGATCCACCATATTCCCGGTATACCCAATATGCACCAGAGAGAAGCTTTTCTACCGAGGATACCAATGGGCATCCATTGTAAAACGAGAAAGTATGAGAGCGCGAAGACCAGAAGTAGAGGCACACGACAGATGAAGAGGAATATGTGGAAGGGTAATGCGAATCCAGCAGGCTCAGTCGGGATAGGAAGGAATGGAGCGATGCCGGAACCTATGGCACAAGGCAGATCAGCACGTTGATCCATCGATAATCTGTGTTTCCAAAGGATAATCACCTTTGTCCCGGAATTGGGAGAACTTTTCCATTTTCCGTTGCGTTTAAATAGGTTGTACAGAGCCCTCGGAGTGATCGCAAAAGCGCCGCTGGAGTGTCAGAGGCTAGAAACGCGAGGACAGCACAGGTATAACATGGCAATGAAGAGCTGGAGTGACAAATAACTGAGTGGTTATCTGGTCATGTTGTGCGTGGCTGAACCCAACACCAGGCGACTCAGGTGAGGTACCGGTACCGGTACCTGTGCGGGCAAGGTTTGATAAACGAGAAGTGGACCAAGGTGCAAGGCTTCCTAGGCTGCGGCTGTGGATGGCATTATGTGGCCCGACAGAGGACAGAGGATAGAGGCAATGCGATCGTCAGGTCGGATCGAAAGTAAGTGAAGAAAACAGCACATGCCATTATTGCAGCCCAAAATCATGACATGCGAGGTGGTCCAGTCGCTTGGCGTCCGGCCCCTCTCCACATGCAGGGCTCGGGGCTTTTTTTGTGCACATGTATGTACCATGTACTTGGGCTTGTTGTCCCTGTCACTACGCACTCTCACGTATTTTGGTGGGAATATTATGTATGTTGAAGAATGGATAGAGAGCATGTGAGTGAGTTGGGGCATGTGAAGCTGACCCAACATAATATTCAGGCGATTCGCACCACCACAGCATGGCGCCTAACCTCCTACTCGCATCTTTCTATGCGCCACACATGCTTCGTTCATTATCCCCAACAGCCCATGGCATGTGGCAGAACGGACATCATATCCAGGGTTGCCCTTGACCCACTTCTAACTCAGGATGGGCGAGCCTTGTATAATGGAGAGGGCAAGCCTGATACCGACGACACGATTCTCTCTGATTGCGCGGCTGCACTGTGACCGTCCTGACCAGCACTTCTTTCTCCTTTTCTTAACGACAGACCTGCGCCTTTCCCACGGCCAGCCATGTCACTGGAGGACCAAGTGCAGTTTTGACGTGGGGAAGGCGCCGTTCACGATCACAGCAGTCACAATGCTTTACACCATTTGGAAACCTCCTGGAGAACAACCTGATCGTGTTTCCCGGCAGTGCGCAATGCGGTCCATTTGTCGTGCCCTTCACTCAACTGAATCGTTTTGCGCCATTCATACCTTGTGTAAGTCATTTGCCCCAGGAGCCACACAAATATCACCTCTCTGGAAAGCCTGAGACTGCGCGAGCGTTCCTGGGATCGAATAACATGCTCGAACTTACTTGATTACACGCACCAACCAGCGATCTCTCGGTACCAAAACTCAGCTTCACCACCATGTCCCCTTTCAAAGACAGCAAAAGCCTTGTCACAGGAGAACTTGGCAATCTCCAATCAGTCCAAGACAGTGCTCACGAGCCGTCGCAAAGTGTCAAAGACGAACTGAAACATAGCGATCCTCCCCCGCCTGAGATCCTTCGATCACTTTCCAACGAAGAGTTTACTGCATGGGGCGAGTATCTAGAGAAGGAGAAGCCGGAAGAATACATCTCGTGGAAGATGCGAATGATTGGGGAGAGTCAGCAAAGATCGACATGTCGGTTTGAGAATCAACAGGCGAGTGGGCAACAAGGATCTGACGCGTTGTCTACCTCTGATCCTAGCAGCTTCGTGCAGGAAGGGGTTACAAGAGAAGAGCAGAAGGGGGATGAGACACTGTTGACCATGAAAAAGCACGATATCTCAAAGAGAAAGGAACACTAGTGTATCGACCTTGTGCGGAGCAAAAGAAGACAATTCTCGGACAGCCACACACTCCATCTGCATCAACAGAGCGGCAGGGTGTCCCTTGGTCGCACATGGTCAGATATCATCAAGTTCAACCACCTGGAGTAACATCACCATCTTTGTCTGAGAGAGGCAGGACATGATACTAAGAAGGGTCGACCATTTATGTTGCGAAGCATGTCATGATTGACTCTAGCTAGTTGATCAATGCATCATGTTTTCCAGCTCACTTTCTGATGTGTAAAGCTCTCTCAAAGCGCGGCCACTGCACATCGTTGATAGGTCGACGGTGCCGCGGCGACGTTGTTGGCTTTCTCTCCACTGCCTCCATCACGGAGTTCAGCGACCTTCCTCTTCAGGCCCTGCAAATTATGTACCGCATGTGCGCATCCACTCCACATCCCACCTCAATGAGCCTGATACCCTTGCAGATTTTTCCCCAGTAAGGTGCTCGTCCAGCGACTTCTGCGGCAGGACAATACTAAGACATATCTCGCGTGTTTGGAATCATCGTCTAGATTCGAGCAATCGCTACCACCGTCAACACCATGGCAGCCTCCTTCGATGTAACGGCCATCAGAGCCCAGTTCCCGGCCCTCGCCCAGAAGCAGGTGTTCATGGACAATGCTGGTGGTGCCCAGGTGCTCCAATCGGTTATCACATCGATTGCGGACTACCTGTCCCGAAATAACGTGCAGCTGGGCGCATCATACCCGGTGTCACAAGTATCCACGACAAAGTTCGAAGAGGGCCACGCTGCGGGCGCAAAGTATATCAATGCATCACCCAAGGAGGTTGTGTTTGGTCCGTCGACGACGCAGCTGTTCCGCAACCTCTCGATCGCCCTGAAGGTCGAACCGGGCGCCGAGTTTGTCCTATCCAGCCTGGACCACGAAGCCAACCTGGCCCCCTGGGTGCAATTGGCTGAGTGGAAAGGGGTGACCGTCAAATGGTGGATTCCGACAAAGAATACAGATTCCAACCCCAAGCTGGAGCCTGAGGACTTGAAGAAGTTACTCACCGACAAGACACGGCTGGTCTGCTGCACACACACCTCGAATATCTTGGGGACTGTCACAGACGTTGCCGCACTGTCTAAGGTCATCCATGAGACCAACCCCAACACCTTGTTCTGTGTTGATGCTGTGGCATATGCCCCGCATGCTCCAGTCGATGTCAAGGCATTCGGTGTCGACTTCTACTCCTTCTCCTGGTACAAGGTGTACGGACCGCACGTCTCAATGCTTTATGTCAGTGAGAAGGCTCAACAACAGATCCAGAGTCTCGGGCACTACTTCAAAGCTGGGAACACGTTGGAGGAAATGCTGGGTTTGGCTGCAGGCAATTACGAATGTACCCAATCCATTCCCCTCATCACTAAGTATATCGACACAGTGGGCTGGGGCGCAATCACAGCACAGGAAGAAAAAATCCAGGAGATATTGCTGTCATACTTGCGGTCGAAGCCGGACCAGATCAAGATCTACGGGGAGCCATCCTCGGACAGGAACCTCCGGGTGCCAGTCATCAGTTTCAGGGTCAAGGGCCAGAGCTCATTGGGTATTATTGATGCCATTGAAGCGAGGTCGAACTTTGGCTGCCGCAATGGGCACTTTTATAGTAAGCGACTGTGCGACAACGTACTCCGCATCCCCGACAGCGATGATGGCGTGGTCAGATGCTCGCTGCTGCACTACAACACCGTCGAGGAAGTCGAGGGTCTTGTTAAGGTCCTGGATGAAGTTATCAAGGAAGGGGCAGCGAAGCACGTCGAGGACCCTGAAAGGAAGAATGTTGCAAATTGGTAAACGACGGCCTTGCCTTGCAGAAATAGACCTTGCAAAATCATTGGCCTTGCACATGCGATGGCAACGAGTCTGATCCATGCTAGATCCTGCCGAGCAGATGCGTCTCTTCTCTCCTTCAAGGTGGATGTTCTGCTCCCAAAAACGCGCACCTCGCCAGTCAAATCAGTGGATGCAAATTTCAATGCGTAAGACACCATTGATATCGTCGCCCTTGTTCACGGTGACCCATGCGCTGAGTTTTCTGGCAACCATCGCTCAATGCTGCCTCAATTTTTCAGAAGCGGTGTGCTGCTAGCTTCTCCCTGTTCGGCCAAGACAGTACCGCCCTGATCTCATGAAAGAGGCGAGAAGTTTGAAGTGGTCTAATACGAATGAGAATTCGAAGCAGCCATACGATACAGTGGATGGTATTGGGTTTGTTCTTCCATTGTTCTGAGGGGGTTGGGAAGGGTCTTTATAGTGGAGCCTGGGCTGCGCCCGCACACGCCCACCGCACCTGAACTGCGAACCTCTGGTAGAGGTGCAAAGTTTGAAGCAGGGCCTGAGCAAAGAAATATCTCGGAGACCCGTGTAGTGTTGATCAATTGAACAAATTTTCATACATATAGAGAGCTCGACAGCATTGAATGTCATCCAAATCATTCCATTGTTCTCATCAACATTGATTTGTACCTTTGCTGTGTGAAACTTCAGCAGCACTATTGGAAGGTTAACCGAAGCCAAGCCTCCGTACCACGTGCCTTTTGCACTAGTCCCAAAACAAATAATTGTTTACAATGGCTTCATCCTTGTATACCTCCAGTGCCTCCTCCTCTTCAAATGCAGGCCAATTGACCGAGACTCAACAACATCGCTCCCCCTGGGGGATTTGGTCATGGTACTCCATCTTGAGTAACAGAAATTGGTGGTTCATCGGCGTCCAACACGGGTTTCTCTTCAAGATGGCCGACACAGAGAATGTATGTTTAACCTCGACCCCCTCAAGCAAGAGTATATGGTGTTGACCAGAATCCGCAGTTCATCTCTCATCTCCCCCAGCCCACCCGATACGGGCTCCCTTCTCCTCAAAGACCTCTGGCAGAAAGCACAGCATCAGCAACAAACTCCCGCACTGCCATGCCTCCACCTATATTTACCAGCCACAAGCGCCAGGGCTCAAACTGTTTGTATATGCCTACCATAAGAGATGAAAGATGTTAACATGGACGACAGTGCCCGAGCCAAGTGCCAAAAGAAAGACACTTGCTGAGCGCGCAGGCGAACCTGTCGGAACAATCATTGCCGCTCCAAAGAACATCACTGCTGCCGGCGCTGGATCGATGTACACTTTTCAATCCCGAAATCCTCCTGCATTTGCTCAGTCCCATCGGAGCACCTCCAGAAGCACCTCAAACTCTTCCGCGACGTCTTCTTTCTCCGTCAGCATGGGCACCGGTATTCGACCACCCGCCATTCACCCAACCTCAAGCCTCGCCCGTCCCAAATCGTCCCTCGCAAGAGACCGAGGAACAAGAACAGCCAACTCAAGGCCTGCTACGTCTCTAGGAACCCGTGCAAGGAATCAGGATGGTCCCGTTAATAAATGTATGGTTTCCCTTTTGTCCCAACCCAAACCAAAGGCTCTTGCTCGTGCTCCCGCTCGTGCTCCCGTGAGGCCCGGACTCGTCAAGGTACCCAAAGCAGATACTCGAAACATTTCACCACGCAAGACATTTGCCGCATCTACAATGTCGTCCATCCGGAATATCTCGACAACATCAATTACCGAACGGATGTTGGGTCTTTCCCTGACCCCCAAGACACCCACCCCTGAGCCCCGTTGGCCAGTCAGCACTTCAATGCTTCCTCGCCCTTCTCCTCAGCTGTCAACACCTCCCATAGAGGACCCTTTCACTCCCGCCCCTTTCCCTAAAGATCTTCTTACTACTCCTCGCAAAGCTCAAGCAAGACCCTTTCTAACAAAAGATTCAAATCTAGTGGCCTGGGACCCCGAAGAACAATATGGCAACATCGAGAGAATGTACGAAGATGTTTGCAAGCATTACAAGCAAGCCATGGAAGACAACATGGAAGCAAAAGAAATCAACAACACTTACAAGTCCACCGTTGCGAATCTTGAGCAAGATCGGAAGGATGCCGTCGAAGCCATGATCGCTCTCAGGTGTGAACTTGAAACTACCAAATACCGCCTGGAATCCGCCGAAAACGGAGCGCACGAGCTCAAACGAGACCAAGAAGCGGAAATTGAAACCATCAAGCATCAGCACAGGGCAGAGCTTGAAAACGTTCGCCAGTCCCATCGAGACGATGTGGAGCGTTTGAAGGCGGACCATAGAGAGGAGATTCGCGAGCTGAAGAAAAGGCTGGAAGACGAACTCACACATGAACGCACGCAACGGATCCAGGCGTTGAGTCAGGTATCCGCACAGGAAGCCATTGAAAAGCAACGACATCAGATGGATCTCGAATCGAAAGAACACGAAATTCGCAGTTTCAAACTGGAAATTGATCGACTCAAGGCGGATCTCGAGAGAGAAAAACTCCTCAATGATGATCTCCGCCGCAATCTGTCGACCGCAGGCGACAACGCAACAAGCATGGAAAGCGCCCGTCAAGCGTTACAGGCCAAGATTGAGTACCTGGAATCAGACAGCAAATCTCAATCAGAAGCGTATGCTGCAATGGAGAGGAGAATGAATGAGGCTCTGGAGAAAGCCACGGAATGCGAAGAGAAGCTCCGCAAGGAAGAAATGCATCGACGCAAACTACACAACCAAGTGCAAGAACTAAAAGGAAACATTCGAGTCTTCTGTCGTGTCCGACCCACCAATGGAAGTGAAGCAGCCGAAGAGACTGCAAAGATCACCATTCCCGAGTCGGACGAAGAAGTCACAGACATCGAAATCAAAGGACCTGAGGAGACCAACAGCCTCGGAAAAGTGACGACAAAGACACATCAATTCACATTCGATCGAGTCTTTGATCCGCGCAGCAACAATGCGGAGATCTTTGAGGAAATCAGCCAACTCATTCAATCCGCGCTGGACGGCTACAACGTCTGCATCTTCGCCTATGGGCAAACCGGCTCTGGAAAGACATTCACCATGTCTTCTGAAGACGGCATGATCCCACGAGCATTACGGCAGATATACGCTACAAGCAAAGAGTTAGAAGCTCGAGGTTGGACATACACCATGGAAGGCAGCTTTGTTGAAGTATACAACGAAGAGCTGCGAGATCTTCTGGGTAAAGAGTCCGACAACAGCAATAAGAAACATCAAATTCTTCACGACAGCACAACATGTGAAACCACAATCACAGATGTGACCACGGTCAATCTGAACAGCCAGGACCAAGTCGAAGCCATCCTGACACAAGCCATGTCTCGTCGCTCGGTGGCTGCAACCAAAGCCAACGAACGCAGTTCTCGAAGCCACTCTGTGTTCATCCTCAAGCTTGCAGGGTATAACAGCGTGACGGGTCAGAAGAGCAAAGGCACTCTGAACCTGGTTGATCTCACTGGATCAGAAAGACTGTCTCATTCCAAGGTCGAAGGTGCACGACTGAGGGAGACACAAAACATTAACAAGTCGCTCTCATGCTTGGGCGATGTTATCGGTGCACTGGGCCAGCAACAAGCAAATGGCTCATTCAACGCTAGAGAGAGTGGCAACAGTGTTGGATCCAACTCCTCGTCATCCGTCGCACACATCCCCTACAGAAACAGTAAACTCACCTATCTGTTGCAGTACAGTCTAGGTGGGAATAGCAAAACACTGATGTTCGTCATGGTGGCACCAGAGAAGAAGTGCCTTGCAGAGACGATCACAAGCCTGAAGTTTGCCGAAAAGGTGTCCAAGACGAAGATTGGAGTGGCGAAAAAGACAGCAGGAGGGAAGTAAGGGCGACGTTGTCTGGGCTTTGGGATTTTGTCATGTTTTTGCATCGGTTTCTTTTGAAAGCAAGCGGTTTTGACCACGGATGGAATATCGACCTGATGACCCAATACATTTCATGTCATGAGGGAGAAATGTGCGGCGTTTTGGCTTCTATGGTTATGGTTATGGGATTTTGGAGGCTTTTTTTTCACTCGTTGATCACTGGACTGTGATGAAGAGGCATTGGCCGATTTTGACAGTTGTGCTTGGTGGTCGATCGAATTGAAAGTTGGCTTCGGTTGGTTTGAGTTGGATAAGGAAGGACACAGTATGGGTGGGATTGTGTTCGTATACAGAGATGACAGACAGCCTTTGAATGGAAAATCGTCTATTGAGAAGTTTCGAGCGTTTTTTTTTTTTTTCAAGGAAGTCGTCGCTGTTGCACTGTTGTCCATATATACACGAGAGGCAGAGAATGCTTGGACGTTTTGACGTCGACCACAGTGCTCACTATCTTTATTTGCTACAGTGGTATAGTTCCCAGAACCCTCATGTGTTCCTTGCATCTTACCAGACAGGCTCAAGCGAGAGCAGCCAGAGCAAGACGTCCCATATATCTCGAGACTGAATGAAGCGGTCCTCCATGGTAAGAACACAACAAAGAACAACAGCTACGGCTATCGGAATCACTATCACTATCTCAGTCACATGCCTGCCTGTCTGCCTCTCCATGTATCTACATATCCATGTATCTATCCACAAACCCACCATGCCTGGTTGGTTGGTTGGTTGGGTGGTTGACTGGCTGTTGGTTAACTGGTCAATCACGCACCCTTGACCTCTCTCACGATGCCCCGGGCAATCCACTCGGCAACACCCATGGTGCTGACCATGGGATTCACGCCGCTCGCCGAGGGAAAGACACTCGCGTCCGCGACGTACAGGCCCTCGGTGCCAAAGACCCTGCCGTGGGAGTCCACGACGCCGGTCTTCGGGGACGACGCCATGCGGCATGAGCCCATCTGGTGGGCGGAGCCCGCGGCCAGGGCGCCCGGGTCGGCGAGCCACGCGCAGCGGACGTCGTCGACGAAGCGGGCAAAAGATATTTCGTCGTCGTCCGTGGTAGGTATCGATGTGGATTGCGCGTGCGACGGCCGCACCCAGCGATCGACGGACGGGTGGCCCGAGTCGATCTCCAATGCGCCCATGACAAAGGCCGCTTGCATGCCGCCCACGATGCCGGCCAGCAGGTGCCGTCGGTCGCGCGCCGAGGGCGTGTACGCGATCCGTGGCCGTCGACGCGTCGCGTCCTTGGGGTCAGGGTATACCCTGCCCGCGTCGGCGTCGCGGGTGATGCAGACGAAGCCCGTCGAGAAGCCGTGCTTAGCGGCGCTGAGACGCCATTCGATGGCAGCTGACAGTGCACTCTCCCCCGGTTTGGCGTTCAGGGCGTGCTTGGGCCGGAAGGGCAGGGTGAGCAGGCCGAATCCCGGGGTCGAGCAGATGACCTCGACCTTGGGCCCGTGGTGTTTGCCGTCTTGGTCTTCGAGCCCCGTCATGGCCACAGTCAGGATGGCGCCTTCCCACGGGTTGGTCCGCTGCGGCCACGTCGCCCACACGGTGCTCGTCGGGTGGAGGTGCAGATGCGCTCCGATGTGCGGGTTCTTCAGTCCGCTACGCAGGAGGACCAAGGGTGATTGCAGAGTTCCAGCGGCCACGATGACTCGTCGGGCCGAGATGGTGAGTTGTCGCGAGGTCTTGCGGTCGCGGGACATCCATGTGGCTTTGACCCCCGTGGCCGTCTTGATGCCGTCCCTCCCGGAAAACACAACCTCTTCGACCCAGCAGCCCTCGATGAACTCGGCGCCGTGGGCCGCCGCGTCGGGGAACCAGCAGTTCGCGGGCCCCTGCTTGGTCGCGCTGGAACATCCGTACATGCAGTAGCCGCAAAAATGGCGTTTGGACGCCGTGTTCTGGGGCACAATCTGCACGGCGATCCCGAGGCGGCGGGACCCCTCGAGGAGCGTCCTATTGGCAAAGTTGTGCTCGATCTTTTGGAGGGCCTCGGGGTCGGTGGTCCTTGCGGCGCCCATGCGCTCACAGACCGTGTCGAGACAGTCCTGGTATTCCGCTCCCAAGAAGTGAGGGAGGTTGTCGGCCGCCCAGTCCTCGCGCACCGGTCGTGGTGGCTGCAACGAGGCTGACCAGTTGACTGTGCCGCCACCACCGAACGTGCTCCCGGCCAAGATGGCAATGGACGCATCATCTGAGAGATATATGCCGCCGTTGTCCATCAAGTGCTCGCCAGCGTTGGCGGCAGACATGGGGAAGTGTGTCGAGGGAAAGTGGTAGGATTTCTCGAGGACCAGGCATTTCAAGCCTGCGCGGGACAGGTGCGAGGCGACGACGCCGGCGCCGCACCCTGATCCCACAATCACCACATCAGTCGAGAGGGTCGTGGATGTTGACGGAGGGGTGAAGTCGTAGAATTTGAAATCAAAGCTTGGGTTGCGCTCGATATGCTTGGGGACACTGGGGAAGTCGAGAAAGCGGTACAGACCGGGAGACGTAGCAACCCAAACTTGTTTCGCTAGGCCGCTGAGGGACTTGTATACTCCTCTTAGGAGTGGTAACCTCGACCTGGACCACCCACAGATTATTCTCGAACGGGTTTCGAGGTCTTGTTTGTGAAGGGGCGTGGTGTATCCTGTCAAGGGGTAGGAGCCCACGGAGGAATTGAGCAGGGAGAGAAGAAAGGCTAGTCCTTGCGAGTCGGAAGCGGGGACTGTGAGCTTGAATTTCCGCACCACAGCCTCTCTGAAGTCAGGATGTGAGACGGCATCCTCGCGCAGATAGGCTCGTGCGACATCTTCAGAGGCCCCTTCTGGCTGATACGGCTTTAGTTTCGCAAGGGCCTCGTCCAACTCTGTAGGGTGGCCGGCTTTCGAGGTGGCGGAGATGGGGATCGACGGCACGAAGACCTCCAGGATCGAGAAGAGCGTGTCCAGCTGTTGCTCGGTGAAGAGGTCGCCGTCAGGAGCGGGAGGCAGAGGCGAGGGGAGAGACGAGAAGTCGGACAAGTTCTCGACCAGAGACATTGTTTGTACTTGTATCGTCGTCGAATGTGTTTCCTGGAATCAAGACACGGTAATAATGCCTGTTGCGTTGCTTGGTGTTCTCTTGTCCCCCCTCTTTTCAAACTCAACACCACTGGGTTCTTGTCAGGCGGGCAGGCGGAGGGACGGTGACAATATTATGTTTATGTACCGAACGAGTGTCTGTCTCCCATGGCATTCACTCCCTGGATTCGGGGTTTGTCTTGTTGACCAACGGACCGGGAAAAATACCACTAGGTTCAGCTGTCTTGATTTCTCTGGACGCCATGGACTAAACTCCGCAGTTGCCACCACCAGCACCAACACCAACACAAATCATCAAACACCAGGGTCATGTCAGGTCCGGTTTGATCTGTTCTGGGGCCAGCTTATGGTGGTGGTGGTTGTGGTCTTGGTGGTGGTGCACGTATTATGAGAAGGCCAGGTGGCCCCATCGATTGTGTGTAACAGGAAGTAGCCGTTTTGATCGCTTTGGAAGACATTGTTAGGGTGTCAATTGCAGGGTGTCGTAGAGGACAAGAGTTGGCGGTAGGTACTCGGTGGAGAGGGTCAAGGAGTACATAATCAAGCGTGTACCGAGCACATAATACGGGAGCGGAAGATGCGGGCGCACCTTGTTGCGACACGAGCTATGGTACGTGGAGCACTTACCGAGTACATATCTAAGGGATGAATCAGCTCGTATTTTGTTCGGTAAATTCCCCCGTAAAACCAAAAAAGGGGGGAGACGTGGAGAGAGTGAGATACTAGGAAAGGGCTAGACAGTTACAAGCAGAGAAGGATCCACGACCTTAGTACGAGGTATAGATTGTCATGGGTGGTTGGAGTCCCAAGATATTTGTATTATTTGTCCCATTGTCAGCACTTGTTTTCTTCCATGCCCGCCTTGCAGTATATAATACTGGTGACTGGGTAGGAAAACGCCGAGCCCGTGGCCGTAACGATCGTTGTTGGCACGGGGGCCGAGCGGCCGCTTGCTGGTGAGCATGGCAAGAATCCAGCTTCTGGGCCGAGCATGTGCACGAGCATGAGCCTTTTCTTTGAATCCTTCTTGAAAACAGGTCCGTCGAGAGCGTATCATCACGGTGGCGACCGAGGACAAGCACCCTTCACGACCATATCTGGAGCCCATGCCTTCGACGGACGAGCCACATTGTACCACCAGTATCGATTAACCACAGAACCATGCCGCAGAAAGCGATGTGGAGTCGATTGAGCACATTTTGGATGGTCGATCGTCACGCTGTTGTCTATGCTCCAATCTCTTCTTCATCTCCTGAATGCACTCTGCACAAGTCATCATCATCCTTCCGCTTGAATCTCGTAGCTGTTGGACTTGTGCTTCGGCTCGAATCGAAAATCGGGATGCGCCGGTCCTAAGAACATCTCACTAGAAATCCGCTCGTTAGCCTTGCTTCGGTGCCAGACTTCTCTTTGTCCCTATTCTCACCTGATCTTGATCCAGTCCTTGTAGTTGTCACTTGCCATCAGCGTCTCGAGCTCATCTCGACCCTTATATCGAGGCGGTCGATCCTGGATGTTGGGAGGCAGATACTCCAAGAGCCCGACTGGCACGTATCGACAGGCAAAGCTGAGCCACTCCAGCAAGAACCGTCGCGTCTGCCCCACGCCAACCTCGTCGCTGCCCCACGCTTCTAACCCGTACCGACAGAACCGCTCGACAAGCTGCAGCCGTTCCGAGGACGATTTATCCAGATACTGCCCTGCGGCGATCTCTTCGAAGAGCCATGGCTTGATAAGTGCCCCTCGACCGGCCATGACTCCGTCAACCCCTGCGTGCTGCATATGATCGTAGTAGTGCTCATGGGAGAAAACGTCGCCATTGCCAATGAAAAAGACTTTACCGTTTCTTGAGCCCGTGTGGCCATTGGCTTGATCGCGCGCGTC